TAACCGAATGTCTAGACTTTGGAGAGATCCGAAGGAAATACTATAAATGCAAGAAATTGCAAGAAATTTCTTCCGTCGTTGATCCCAGCAAAATTTTGAATTTTATGAAGGCCATTGGCCTTTATGGCAAATTGTAAAATGAAAACGTACTATTAAAAATTTTTATTGTTACCTATAAGAGTTGTTTTAAATCACAAATAATAATAATATTTACACTGAATCTTAATATTTTAACATTTTAGCATTTTAAAGTCAATTAGTTGACCAATCGTGCTGTGAACTTTTGCAAAAGTAAACAACTTGTGTTTCGCGCGCTCCTATGACCTTACCAGTTGCGAGCGCCGTAAAACCCTATACTACATACACATACCCCTTATGTGTGGCTCCATGGTTTACATGTTAGATCCTGTATTTTATCTTGAATTACACGCGTTTAGGGTTAAAACGGCCGTATTTGTTAATTTTTTGTGGTTGTTTATTTTCTGTTCCAATTTTGATTTCATTTTGTTGTGAAACCTTTATTTTTCAAGTTTTTAAAGTGTGTGGGTGATTGGCGGGAGCTCTGGTGTGGTTTGCTTCTTTTTTCCTATCAAGCATCTATCGTCCATATCTCCCCTTTTTAAAAAAATGTTTGTTAAGTCTCTTGTAACAACTCTAATCTTCTGATGCTCATATGACCTTATGCAGATGTGAGCGCCATAAAACCTCTACTAAAACTAAACGCTCTGTGTGGCTGCAAAAGCTATTCTGAATGCTTAAAACAGAGCACAAGAAATTCTGGTGTATTTGATGAAGTTATCTCTATCAACATTGCTATAAACGTCGTCACAGAGAGTTGAAAGCTTGAAAATTGTTGGCAACTTTTGCCATTTTTGTGGGAACTTTTGGACAAGAAAAAAAAATGGCAACAAACGCAGATGCTAGCTATATTAGGAAAAGATTTATAATGTTTTGCCTCCTATTTGAGCCAGTTTCCGCTGCAGTACAGTACAGGTGGTCAAGTTATTTTTTTCTCCCATTACAGTTGTCACAATTGGGGTTCTCATTAGCCAAATTAAAGGTGTACTAACTCCTACCTAGTGACTTTTAAATCCAATATTACTGTAGACCCAGAAAGGAATGTCCAACTTTCAACATGTCACCAATTTTGTATACAAATACAATATATACCAACGATCATAGAAGTATATATAAAACAACACGCTTTATTAAGTTTGCAGATGACTCCGCTATTATTGGATTGATAAACCTTGATGAAAAAGAGTATTTCAAAGAAATATGTATGTTTTTTAAATGGTGCAATTCAAATTTTCTAAAATTCTAATTTTCTCTCAAAAACAAAGGAAATGATTTTTGATTTTAGAAGAGAAAAGCCAACAATCCCACCACTCGTAATTGAACAAGAAACTATTGAAATCACGGATTCATACAAATATCTTGGTCTTAAAATCGACGTCAAATTTACATAGCAAAACCACATAAACAATATCGTTAAAAAGGTAAATCAGAGGCTGTACTTTCTGAGGAAACTAAAGTCTTTCAATCTGAATCCATCCATCCTTCGGATTTTCTACACCACCACAATAGAAACTTTGATAAATTTTGGTATCACTTGCAATTTGGGAAAGCAGCACATTATAAAAATAAACAAGTTGATAAGAAAGGCATCAAGAACAATTGGTAGAGACCTAAGTGACTTTGAATATCTACACAAGACAAACATTCTAAAAAAGGCGGAAATAATGCTTAGTGACCATAGCCACCCACTGACATCGGAATTTCAACTATCGACCCGCAGTAAACGATACATTTCCAAAGAAGCAAGAACAGACAGATATAGAAATTCATTCGTACCAACTGCAGTGAGGTTACTGAACACACAGTGCTACAAATGAGAGAGAGAGAGAGATGTCCCAGCACGTGAGACATATTGTATTTACTTGGCCTAATGTCCTGTCTTGTGCGTTTGCGTGAGTGCACCTTTAAGTCTAACCTTTGTAACGTCTACTGCCATTGTTAACGGCCAAGACAAATTTCTCCCTGCGAGATGAATAAAGATTGTCATTGTCATTGTCATATCTTTTTTTTTATTGAGACCGCTTCACTGGCCTTTTTTTTGTTACAGTTTCCTTGGATTTGTCCAAATTTCAATCCCTTTGCACTCTCCGTGTCGTCATATCAAGAGTTAAGAGCAATAACTTGGTCATCTCTGCCCTAATTTCAACAAAATTTTGGACAGGGGGCTCTCATGGCCTTAGGTTAAGGTATTGGCTGGCACAAATGGGACTACTCCAACATTTTCTGAAACCCAATTTTTGATAGTGCATGTATTGTAAAGCAGGGTCAAATACACTGTCCTTTATAAAGTTGCACATCAAGTCCTTTTATGGGCTTTTCTTTTCACTTTGTCAAATTTGATTTGAGCGGTCTGTGATGGTATGATTAAACAGATTTGTAAATCCTCCTCTGTAAAATAAACTTCCTGGGATGTGACATATTTGTGCCAGATACCATTGGTGTGTCGATAACGTGTTTGCTTTAATGGCAGCAGTATTGACGGTCCTACTGAGTACTTTGGTTGTGCTATGAAGTGAATTCTCCTGGTAGAAGTTTAAGTTTTTTCAGATGGGGAGGCGTACTAAACCTCATATCCTTTTCTATTGGTGCTCTTGTGTCGTGTGCCGCCGCCCCCTCAATATTTGACATGTTTCATGCTTCAGTGCTTTTATGCCCCTTCGGACAGTTAGAAAATTGTATGTTATGCATAATGTCTACTTGTGTGATAACCATCATTTGCCTTTCTTTGTTACAGGATGACTTCGACGCTCTCCGGCCGCTCTGCTACCCCAACACAGACATCTTTTTACTGTGTTTCAGTGTGGTCTCTCCCACCTCCTTCAACAACATTGTGGAGAAATGGGTGCCTGAGATCCGTAAGCATGCTCCCAGATGTCCCCTCATGCTAGTGGGCACACAGTGTGACCTGCGCAATGACGTTAAAGTTCTCATAGAGCTTGCCAAATATAAAGACAAACCCGTGTCCGAGACGGATGCCAGCCGGCTTGCTCACGACATTGGGGCCACACACTACATGGAGTGTTCAGCTCTCACACAGAAAAACCTCAAGGACGTGTTCGACCAGGCCATTTTAGACTCCTTGAACTACGACCTGGACCGAGAGAAAGAGGCTCATGGATCAGACAGGAAGAAATACTCTGTGCAGGGCGGTGTACGTCAGAGCAGTGCTATAAAGAAAGCCGGCTGGAAAAAGTTCTGTTGCTTTTTGTGATGTTTCTGGAATCCCTGAACAGTTTTGCTGTATAGAAGAGGTGTGGGCTATTTCTCAGTTCTGATAATTTTGTGAGAATGTGGCAAGCAAAATGCTGTCAGTATTGTGAAATCATCAGTACAAGACATAGTCATGAATTTGAATCCAAGAACTACACCATTGTAAAAAAAAAAAAAAAGGGTTCTTGTTGGGCTAGACTACATTATGATCACTGAGGTCATTTTTTAGGCAAAGGTTGCCTGTAATGTCCATACAATGGCTTGTTCACTTTTGTCTGACCACAGTTAAGACAAGATAAATGAAATCACCTGTTCAATCTTCTCAAATCTTTGTATATGGGTCTAAAAGTTGGATGACCAACAGAAACCCAGTTATAAAAGTCACTGCAAACTAAGGTTCCGAAACGTTTTCTTCGATGTAAGCCTAAAATGGGTAAGAAAATAAATAGGGGATTTACATCATATGCAAAAGTTGACATATTTTCTCAACACCACTCTTTAACGTTCACCTAAGAAACACGATTCATGAGACGGGGTGAGTATTTTTTTTGACTAACGTGGAGCTCATGGAGAAGTCTAGACAGCAGGGGGATAAAATCGAATGAGCAATTTGTAGGCAAGGCTACTGTAAGTAATTTATTTTAGTGATCCTGTGCATGCATCCAAAGAGCGGTTTTTAATATAAGGCCCAAATAGAAAGACTTTTTTATTACTGGGTCAAGATTTTTGATTTTTAAAATTTTGTTTGGTCACTTGCTCACAGAAGTGCAATGCAAAGTTTCATGGGCAAAGATAACTTCCTTAATGAGCTAGAATTTTTTTAATGCGGTCAGACGAAAGTGAACAAGCTATAGTCATTCCTTGTACTTGAAGGTTGATAAGTTAGTTTCTCCTAAGCACACATGCCATCGCTGTGTAAGTAGACAGATTCATATTATCTGCGCCTTTTGTATGGCGTTTTTAAAAAAAAATCATGCTTGCCTGTCAGGATAAAAGGCAGACCAGGCTCACTCAAGGAAGTAAAGGCAATTGTAACTGTCACATAGTGTGTGCCAATGTATAGACGTGGAAGTTTTTGGGTTTTAAAAACAGTTCTCCCTTTTGCTTTTTTTCTCTGTGATCTTTCTCTTTCTCTCTCTCTGTATGTGTGTGTGAGTATGTACAGTCGAACCTGTGTAAAATGGCCACCCATTGTCAAGGAGAAAAGTGGCCAGTAAGACAGGACAGGACTTAGGCAGGACTGATCAAACTGAAAAATGCAAACCATTCCCCTTTGAGGTCCCAGTTGGGGGTGATCTCAGGTTTAGGACTAAGGCTAATTAAAAATGTTTTTTGTGTTCTTTTGAAAAGGGGGGGGGGGGGGGGGGGAGATGTAGGATGGTTTCTATTTGTTGTTTTTTAAAAATTTTTGTTGGTTTGTTATTTGGTTGGGGGGGGGGGGGTGTGTTGATATGTGGGACACAGACTAACAAGTCCTAGTGATGTGGCAAAGACGCTTTAATTGAAAGGCAAATTTATTGTGTGCTCATCATGGCTTCCATACAATAATAATCATCTAAAACTAAACTTAGAAACAGAAGAGTGATTGTGCAATTCGTTACAAAAGTATTTAGGATTTTATGTTAGTATTTGTAGCAATTAAATTGTAAACTTAAGTATTATGATTATTAACATCCCTTTTCCTTTCCTTAAACAAATTGACTGTTATTAACTTATTAACACCAATAATAATTAATTACAACTAAAACTAAATTATCACTAAATTTAATTGAAATACTCTAGAGGTTATAATAAATGTGTCCTCATCCAGGGGAGGGTATTATGACCCTTTGTCCTGGTCCTTACACAAAATGATTGTCTTTTCTGTAAACTTGGTCTGTTAAATATTCATTGGGTAATAAAGTCTTTCATCCACGATATTTGTTTCACTTCCCGTTTGGGTCTCATATTCATAGTTGGTGGGGTGCTGGGCGGGCCCTCATTGAGTATTTGAGAGTGATTCACTGACTGATTGGGATTGATGACAGGAGAGGGCTTGGGCTGGTGTTTGTCTCAGCCATGGGGATATTACTGGGACATATCGGCTCAAGCTCGTCGACGTTTTCTCTTCTGAAAGGGCTTGACTTTGGTGTGAGATGTACGCGGTTGTGTCGGTAGATGCCTCCGTTTTTCCCCTCCACTGTGTATTGGCGTTGTCCATTTGTCTGGACAATCCTGCCCTTGTTCCAACCAGATTGGTTGGGATTTCTGTAGTAGTCCGGTTGTGGCCTCTGAAGTGGTGGAAGGTCTCTGGCGTGTTTATTGTAGGATTTGGTCACGGCATCATTTCTGTCATTGGACTTTTTGTCAGTGTTCATAGAAGTTATGGGCTTGCTAGGGATCAATGCGTGCAGCCGCCTTGCTAGCTTTATCTCAGCTGGGGATTTCTCATACTGTCGCAGAGTATTGCGGAGTTTTAAAAGCGCTTCGTACTGATCCTATTTCTGCCGGTTCGCTTTCTTCATCGTGTACTTTTTATTTTTCACTCCCAATTCTGCTCGCCCGTTGGATCTGGGATGTCCGGGACTTGAGGTCTCGTGTCGGAATCCCCTTTTTTCAGCAAATTTTGAGAACTCCTGGGCGACAAACTGCGATCCACAGTCCGTTACCACTACTTTTGGGATGCCGAAACGAGCGAAGTGTCCCTTGAGTTTCATGATTATTGATTGTGATTCTGTGTTAGTAAGATAATCTGCTTCTGCGAAGTTGGAGAAGCAGTCCACTGTTAAAAGATAGTTTCTTCCATCAATTTCCATAAGATCACAAACAATTTTCTCCCTTGAGTAGGTTCCTTGGTTATGTTGAGTCATTGTGTCTCTTGGATTTGCTGGTTTTAGTGCCTGGCATGTCTTGCAGTTGCCAGCCATTGCTTTGATTTCTGCTGACATGCCGGGCCAGATTTAGGGGTTGTGGGTCAATGCAGATTCTTATATTTCCAATAGCCTTTTTCACCACAACCATCTGATTTACCCAAGGGGTGGGCTCTTCAACCCTCTGTAAGATGCCACGATGCAACAGGCAAATAATTTCTTCTTTAACTTGGTCTTCTAGCGCATGAGGTACCTTTCTGCATGGAAGGATTGTCGGCTTTATTGTGTGATCTACTGTCAGATGTGCCTCCCCCAGATCACCGATTGTCTCCAGCTCCAGCTTGGCTATGAACTTGTCTTCGTGTATGGTTATCAGACCGAGCTCTCTTTATGTTTTCAGGCTAAAAGTCATCGTCAATGAATGTAAATGGCACATTTCTCCTTTCTTTTGTTTTGGGGTTTTCCACTTTCAGCATGGCCTTACCAGCTGGTGTTACTTTGATTTTATTCCACATTGTCAGTGTCTGTGACGTTTCCTTTGTCTGTTCGTGCTTCTCATACTTCTTGCATATAATTGACATCTGCTCTCGTGTCCACCTGGAGCCGACGTCATTGCCATTAATTTTCAGTATTGTCGTCGTTCTCTCCTTACTTACTGCATTCAGCCATTCATCTCCACTAGCAAATTCTTCATCTTCTTCTTCCTTAGTGGTGAATTTCACTTGCTTCTTTTTGCATTTTGATGCAAAGTGATTGCGTCCATGGCAGTTTGTACACGATTTACCCCATGCTGCGCACTTTTCTTTCACTTGTTCATGGCTTTTACCACAAAAGTGGCAGTCATTGATGACTTTTCTCTGTTGCTTGGGTGGTTTGTCTCGGTTTGCTGCCATATTCATTCCTTCCTGTTACATTTCCGTCGGGTTTCTCAACCCACAGTTTATCGACTCTCATGGTGTTCATTTCCTGCAAGTGCTTTTTTGTCTGTTCTTACGACTGTCCGATCGTTATCGCTTTTGCTAAAGTTAGTTCTTGTTCTCTGAGCAGTTTCACCTGTAGTTTCTTCTCCACAGAAAAAACTATCTCGTCTCAAATCATGCGATCCTTTTCAACAAGGTTGCACTTGCTTCCTTTAGTGCGCAATTCTGTAACAAATGCATCAAATGGATCAGAGGCAGGGATGTTCCAGAATCTGAAAGTTTCTATGACCCCATTGCAGAGGGGATTGCAGTAATGGTGCAAACGTTGCGACACCTTTTCTGGGTCCTGTTTATCACCGTCGTTGTCGAACTGGAACTGGTCATATAGCTCCAGCACTTGAAGTCCTGCGCAGTGTAGTAGGATGGCTGTCTGAGTTTTCTTGGGCTTGTCTGAGCCTCCTGAAGCATCCAGGTAGACTTCTCCCTGTCGCTTTCATTTGTCTGAGATGTTTCCAGATGTTATATTATTCAATTCTGGAGGCAGGCGAAACTGACTTTTTCCCAAAAGATAACCCTGTTACACTCTTGACTATTCAAAATGTTATGATTACTTCCCTTGTTTGGGAAAATTGGCGAGAATTTGTATCAATGTGTGATCAGCGACTTTCAGGCGTCAATCATTCAATGGTCTGGCTGGGGCGAAGATGATAAAGCATTCATTGGTTTCTATTACCTTGCTGCCACCATGTTGATATGTGGGACACGGACTGACAAGTCCTAGTAATGTGACAAAGACGCTTTAATTGAACGACAAATTTATTGTGTGCTCATCATGGCTTCCAAACAATAATAATCACCTAAAACTAAACTTACAAACAGAAGAGTGATTGTGCAATTTGTTACGAAAGTATTTAGGATTTTATGTTAGCATTTAAATTGTAAACTTAAGTACAGTAGTCTTTGCACCGCTTATGGTCCCAGTTCGCCTGAGATCCCGCTGTTTTGGAAAACCAGAAATTTTACTAGGTCTATATAAAAGTTACCCCTAAGATCCTGCTCTGAAGAAGCTACATTCGGCTAAGATCCCATTTTTCAGGTCATAATTTAGTTATTTTTTTCTTTATTTAAGAAAAAAAAAAGAATAAGAAACCTGGGCAGGCTCAGCTGATCAACCAAGTAGCGAAAATGTGCGATCATTGTACGGTCCGTCACGTCACGGATCATTCTCTCATAAATGCGATCACACCTCTGTTGTAAATTTCAATAAGCGGTTACAATGATTGCCCAGACAGGATCGCACCAAGGTGTGAACTCATCGATGCCTTGCTTTCCCCGATCACCTGAGCCGTCCGCCTGATCTTACATCACTCACTAGGTGTGGAGGGCCTACAACTACAAGCAAGCGTCAGACTTCTACCAAACTGTGAACTTGTGGATGCTTATATTTTCCCGACCATCGTTCTTGTCTTTCAGTTTTGCACTCTATCTTCCTCCTAGACAGACTGGCGCCCGTACTCATGGACTGTCCGATCGCCTCAGCGTAATGAGGTCATGTGATGGCAGTAAACCTGCCTTTCATTTTTTTTAAATTTGGTCGGTGTGGTCACAACACGACGATTTATAATGCTTCATGACATGGGCGGGGAACTCAGAGATGGAAAGCAATAAATTTTGGGTGGGTTGAATTACTTGAAGTCAACTGATTCCCACCTGACGCCATATTTTTAAAAAAGCCCCACTCCCGCCCCCAAACAAAAAAAAAAAAAGAAGGAAAAACTGACTTCTGAAAAGAACTTTTAGTGCCCAGGAGTCACGACAGTTCATTTTAAAGTAAGGGAAGATCATTGTACAGATTATGGGCCTGACCATAAGTTGCTGTGGGTTCTTCCCCCATGTTAACGTCCATTATTATGGACTGGTAAAACTGACTGCTAATCTCACGTGCGATTTGTGTATGAGTTGTGGGCAGGGCTTATATGTAATGACAGATCACATGCTCCCCTAGCCAGCAGCTGAAAATTTATTGTTACACATTGGTCAGCTTGGGTAAACATTCATTGAAGGGACTAGCAATAATGACAAGTGAATGGATTATGACAGTTTGTTCACAGCATCAGGGCTGATTCAGTCGTGCATCTCGGACCTGGGCAACACAGCCCCGCGACCGGACGACATCCACAACCAGATCATTAGACACTTACCCTCAGAAACACTTACACTCCTACTAGACATATACAACGACTGGTGGCGGTCGCACTCCTTTCCGGAGCCTTGGCGCCTCGCCACTGTCATTCCAATACCCAAACCAAACAAAGACCACACACCCCCATCCAATTACAGATCAATAGCACTAACGAGCTGTGTGTGCAAACTTATTGAAAAAATGATTCACAGGAGACGTCATGTGGTTTCTGGAAACGACGAGCTCGCTGAGCGGTCTCCAGTCCGGATTCAGGAAAACTCGATCCACTCTAGATCACCTGTTCTGCCTGGAGACCTTTATACGCGAGACGTTCGCTGAAGAAGGCCACATGATTGCCATCTTTTTCGACCTAGAAAAAGCTTTCAACACAACCTGGAAGTACGGCATTCTCCGAGACCTGCACGCACTCGGCATACGCGGTGACCTCTCCGCCTTCATTGGCAACTTCCTGAAGAACCGTTCCTTCCAGGTTCGTGTCGGATCCTCCCTTTCAGACCCCCACAAACAGGAGGAAGGGGTCCCCCCAGGGGAGCATCCTTTCTCCTCTCCTATTCGAAATCAAAATAGATTCCATCGTAAAAACCCTTCTAAATAACATAGACAGCTCGTTATACGTTGACGACTTTTTGATATGCTGCCGTTAGAAAAATCCTCATCTAAGATATATGGAAAGGCAGCTGCCAATGCAGCTGCACAAACTCGAAAAGTGGGCAAACAATAATTGTTTCAAGTTCTCCCTGTCAAAGACGGTTGCAGTACACTTCTGCCGAACAGGCAGACGTGTGCTGCAGCCGGATTTGACACTATACGGGGAAAGGATTCCCGTCCAGGACCAAGCTCGTTTCCTCGGCGTCATTTTCGACAAAAAACTCACATTCATACCACACATCAAAGACCTTCGTGTGAGGTGCCAGAAAGCGTTAAACGCTTTTAAAATTCTATCGCATCCGGAGTGGGGCGGGGACTCAAAACACCTTCTCCACTTGTACATCTCCCTTGTCCGGTCCAGGCTTGACTACGGCTGTCAAGTCTACGGATCGGCAAAACCACACATCTTAAAATTGCTAGACCCAATACAGAACCAATTACTCCGCCTCGCTCTGGGGGCTTTCCGCACTTCTCCGGTAGAGAGCCCCCAGGCCGAGGCCAACATACCACCACTCTCACTCAGAAGCACACAACTCTCACTACAATACGCAGTAAAACAGCTCAACACCGGAAAATCCAGCGCACAACAACATTTTCGAAACAAACCCAGAAACCTTAAACAAATTCCAAAACAACGAAAAACTCATCAAACCCTTCGGCCTCAGAATCCTTGAGGACCTCAAAAACTTACACTTTTCCAAACAAGACATCCAACAAATTCTTTTCCCCGACCTCCCTCCGTGGCACCTCACCAAGGCAAAAATAGACTTACAGCTGACCACGCACAACAAAGAAAGCACAAACACCAAAGCTTTTAAAACAGAATACAAAAAACTAATAGATAAATACCCCGATGCGGAGCTCATCGTCATGGATGGCTCCAAAAAAGACAATGAAGTGGGCGCCGCAGCCCTATCTCCCAACAATACACATCAGAGGAGACTCCATCCTGAAGCCTCCATTTTCACTGCGGAGGCCACTGCCATTGACATGGCACTGGACTCTGTAGAAAATTCCCCTAACAAATCTTTCCTTATCCTTTCTGACTCTCTGTCTTGCATCACCTCACTCACAAACTACACACTCTTACACCCAAAAATAGTTACGCTACAACAGAAAATTCATACACTATATCCGAAACAGGAAAAAACATCATGTTCGCATGGATACCCAGCCATGTGGGCATCCGAGGAAACGAGCAGGTGGACGAACTGGCGAAGAAAGCTTCATCCCTTCTGCTGGGATCAACGACAAACACTCTCCCACAGACTGACTTTAGAAATAAAGTCAAAAAGTACACTTCCAGT